AGGAAAAGGTAAAGAATGCAAAGAAGAAGAAATTAGGAGCACTTCCTGTGGAAGAAGTCAAGTTAAAAATGGCAGCAGATGAAAAGAAAAAAAAGAACAAGAAGTAATTCCCCACCCAAGATGCTCACTTTTCTCCCACGTTAATGAACATTTTCACACTTGGAAGATTTGAGACTTCTTGCTGTCAGTATAATGTGGACAAGAAAAGACTAGGTAGAAAGGTAGTTCTCTTTTCATAAAGTACACTTTAATTAGTGGACCTGAAGCAGCTGTGCAGAATTGCCAAGGTTGGTGAAGAAAATCGATGCTGCTGTGTTGTTTGAGAAGGTAAGAGAGTGTATTTGGATATTACCCATCTGCCTAAAGGGAAGGTTTCGTAATAGAAACATTTAGGAGTTTGATGCAGGATGTTAAACATTAGGCTCAGAGAACTCGGTGGGAGTTTAAGGTAATTCTTGTGTGAAAGACTACCAGGCTATATGCAGCCTCAGTTACGGTGATAAGTTTTGCAAAACGGGCAAGATTTATTACTGTATTATGCTTTTGTTTCTGTAAAAGCTGATTATTTTTGCGTGTCTTGTCTTGGTGTTAATAAACTATTTTAATACATTGTTCTTAAATCCTTTAATTAGTCATCTGCTGCACAACCTACATGTTGTTTTCCAGGAAACAAGCTCACAGCTTCATGTGAGAATTAGACAAATGATAATAATTGAATGCCATTCATAAACTGTCATTTATTAGCATTATCCTGGAGGTTGTTAGACAGAATGTGGTACAAAGCAAGTGTCTTTTCACATGGAATGTGCTGCAAGGAAAGCATAAAGTCTTGTTACCTTTCTTTAAATATATTCTTAATTTATTTCTTGCTTGCAAGAAAGTCTAAGAAACGTGTTCCTCTTTTTTTTTTCCCTTTTTTCCTTTTTTTTTTGAGGCCCTTCCCCTTTTTTAGAGGAAGCCTAGAGGTTTTTAGTTTCCTGAAAATGCAAATTGTGATGAAATAAAGTTCACTGGAAGAGCAGATGTTGCTTATTTCATGCATCTGAGATTAAAGAAGCAGATGTAATGATTAGGAGGTGGTAGAGCCATACCAATTTCATGATTGTGTTGGGAGTGTTTTTGCCAGGTTTTGGAATTTTGATCACCTGCACATGCAGTGGAAATAATTATGCTAGAATATTGCAACTCGCTGCTTTTAGGTTAGTGACCTTTTATTTGAAACTAGTAAGTGAAAACACAGCCGTTTCCTTTTTTGCATGTATAAGAATTTAGAATATGTGTGGTTAAATAGCCAGTACGTGTGCGTTGAGAAATAGCCGAGATGCTTGCCCTTCAGGGTAGGGGACGACATTAGCCTTAGTGTGCCTTTCAGTTATGTGGTCATTTCTTGGCACTTAATTGTTAAGCAAGAGACAGTCAGTCCTTTTAGGGACTGCATTGTTCATAAACAGCAGTTCAATTACTTGTGGAATCAATCAGGAAAATACTACTTCAACAGATACGTCGCTGAGAATATGATCAATAAGTCACGAACACCCGTCTCAGAAACTAGAGAGCTGATGGGTATAGTGATACCAGCAGCATGACAAGCTTTAAACGCCAACTGGTGTTTAGCAGTTGACGGTGTACAGGGGTGACCTAAGTTCCGTACCAGTCAGGTAGTTCAGACCTCTCATATAGTGAAAGGACTCATTTCAACAGGAGGCACTGCAACGCTTGAGTGTAAATGCCTGTTCTCAGAGCGTGATCCCACGAACGAGTGCTTCAACAGAAGAGTCTGCAGAGCTAGAAGCCAGTAGGGAGGAGTCTGTAGCCAGGGAAGGACCATGAGTGTATTAGGGGAGGGAGAGTCCTTGGTTCTAATCTAGTCTGGATGAGGCCCCCTTCGCTGCAGAGGACTGGCACAGGTGTTCCCCTGTTTGTTGTTTAAAAAGTTAAAAACAAGTGTAGCGCTGGTTGCTCTACCCTGGTCTTGCAGGCTGGCATTTCATTTCAGCAACCTGACCTAGCTGAAAGCGCCCTGCAAAAAAGTGTTTTCCAGCTGCATCAGCTGACTGCCTGGTTGCCTGAGTTGCAGCGCAGAAAAACATAGCTCGGCTTGGTGGCAGCCTGGCCTTAAATTGTATATAATTCCATTGTGCTTTTTTAATTTAGGACCCACAGCTGAGGCATCTATGTAGCTTTTGCATCAAATCCCTAGCCGTACTAAAACTCTTACCAGACTTCAGGGAGTCTTGTCCTGTTGTTACGGAGTGAAAAGGCTTCGCATTGTGTTTAATCTTTTTCAGTTGTTATGGTTGATGGGTCTCAAGGATTGTTGGTTGGACATTTATTTGCTTAAACTGGAAAATCAAGAAAGCCTACTCATACTCCTGTCAGCAAGTTAAACCAAAGGATTTGTCTGCTTAGAGTCCGTATCTGAATGGTAACTGGCTGCACGGGCTCACTGTTGGTGCTTTTTGCACCTGTTTTCTCAGAGAATATGGCTATACAGTTCTAACACTCGTGTAAAAAGTAAAGAATAGAAAACAAAGTGGATTTGGAAGGGTGAAAAAGGGTTTTTTTTGTATTTTCAGAACAGCTTGAACTATTGCAAATTATCTCCTTAAACTGATGTTAGAGTTTACAGGCTTGCAAAAAAGTACCCGAGGGCTGTATTTATATATATCAGTGTTTTGCATTTGTCATGTGGAATTCATGGGCATATGCCATAAGATAAACGTGGACAGCTCAAAGAGGTTTGATCATCAGGAGTTAAATATCTGGATTTTTGGACGTCCTTAAAATGAGATGCAGGACTTGGTTAGGTTTGACTTTTTGACTTGCAGGCTTTTTTTGTTTGAAAGATACCACGTTGTAAAGTTTTAGGGGTTTTTTCCCCCTAAGCCTGTGATTTACAGGGTTTTTAATGAAGCTTTTTCTATGGTATTTCCTTAGAGCTGCTGAAGTACATAGTTAAATGACAGTGCTGTGAATGTTTTGAACTTTAAGGGCTCTGTGCTCGTTGTGTTTACTCTCCTGGAGACCAAGCACAGATTAAACTAAGCAGGGAAGAATTCCTGATCCCTAGACACAGCAGCGTATGCTCTTCCCTCTCCTGCGTTTCTCTTTGCGGTAGTAGGATCTAACTGCACGAGGCCTCAGTGGGGCAGACGCTGTGCCAGGCTCCGTGCTGGTGTGGGAGCCCTGTGCAAGAGAGCGTACGCAGAGTAAGTCCTGCTGCCCGCGTGCCGCTTGCCGTCCCATTTTCAGACAGGACTGTGCAGTACATGAAGCTCGAGGCTTGGGTCTTGCACAAAAGAGAGTGGGAAAAAGACAAGTCAGGAGGAAAACAGCTGCTCTTTTTAACAGATAGACCCATGGCCTTGCTTTTGCAACGGGGATTTTTTTTTTTAAACACCCTAATCTGCCTAGTTTGGAAGACAGAACTGAGCTTGGCTCCCTCACAAGTAGGCCAGCATGGGTGCTGGGACCCTGTTCACTGGAGTGTGGAAAAGAAACTGCTCATCTCCTGTCTGCGAGGGTGATGTCTTGGCTACAGAGGCTCTGGTATATATCAAGGACAAGAATATATCGAGGGCAAAATTTGGAATTTCGTCCCCAGCCGTACTTGCATTTTGAAAAATGATTTATTCAGGGAATGCTGCGATACTGAGGTGATTCTAGTGCAAGCAGTTACCTGGAAGAGTAACGTGAGAAACTTTGGGTCCCAGTTCCAGTGTTTTCAGTTAAGAACCACCCCAGCAGTGAGGTCGGGAGTGGGTATGCAGAAACACTGACAGGTGCTGCAGGGGCAGGACCGCAGAAATGAAGTGGCGAGGGGAACTTCCCAGCTTCCTTTACAGTGGTGTGTGCCTGTGCCCTGCAGCGGGGCATGGTGCAGAGGCATCTAAACCCGCCTCCGAATAGAGACGGATCACCGCGGTCTAGCTGTGTGCTTGTGCAGCTCTTCCTTCCGGCCTCCGCTCGAGCTGAGCGGCTGCGGTCGGTAGAGGACATGCCCAGCTGAGCACAGCAGCTGTCCCCGCTGCTTTCTGCCTGCTGCAGATACGCGGGTTCCAGGAGACTCATCCCTTGGCAACTGTTGAATCAGAGGCATAACTATGGGCACAGCATGATTTTATGTGGAGTTTTATGCCATCTTTCCCAGCATTGTGTTTCTCAGCATTGTGCAGGTTGAAACTGAATCTGGGGTTTTTTTGTGCCACAGCAGTTAAGCTTTAGATCATGTTGCAAATACACAATTGCCATCTATGGGAAGCAGGAAATAATGATTTATTGTTTGAAATAGCAGTCAAACCCCCTATGCTTGGAAAAAAGGGGGAAAAAAAAAAGGAAAGATTGCGGCAATACATAAGCATGTGTAAACACAGGTGAAACTATGTCTTGGCACAGATGATGCGTGTTTAAAAACAAATTCTAAGCAAAGAGAAGTACCAGTGGCCCCAGTGCACTGAGAGACTCAGAAACGCACTGCCTGCCCCAGGATGCAAATGCCAGAGCTCACATGGGTCCAAAAATGATTAGAAAAACATTTAAATGAAAAACCTCTCCAGGCTACTCTGCGTCTTGCTGGAGGAGTGTCCAAGGAAAGAGCGCCGTAGGGACGAGAGAGGTGTGTGCTCTGCCTGGGGCCTGGGCCGGGGCTGGGGGCGGGCTCCTGGCCTGGGTGCCCTCCAGCCCGTCCTAAGAAAGTGTGGCGGTGCCGGCGCCTCAGTGCGCTGCCCGGGCAGCATGCTCCCTTACCCACCGGATCCTGCTCACGCCGCTCCACTTTGAAAAAATACATGGGTAATTTAAAACCAGTTACTGGTTCTGAGCAGTGAGAAAGCTGCTTATCAGCTCTCCTAACTGCTGCCTGCAAGGAAGATAGTATTTCTGTACTTGTAAATCACCTGTGGATGCAAACAATGTCTCTACCGATCTTTCTGCTGCCAGTAACTTATGTGCAGGGAAGGGATGAGTTGACCTAAGTGCTCTCGTGGTCTTCTGCATGTGTGTCATTCGCTGGCGGGTGCTATAGACCAGTATTTTGGTAGGAGCCAGGTGGCCAGAATTGTCAGTATAAGGAGTAATGGCCTTAAAGCAATAACGGTGATGCAGTACTCATCACACGCAGGTCTGTCCCACTCTGGATGCCACCTGGAATCACCTATGAACAAAAGAGGTTACTTGTTTTCAAGTATAACTGCACCAAGGGCAACAAATGGAAGCAGTAAATTCTGGTGGTACTTACTAATGACTTTGTCACGCTCTGCGTTTTCTGGAGGGAGGAAAGAAGTGAACGTCAGCAGACTTACACATTATAAACAATTTGAGTCTAAGCAAAAGGGAATGAAGCCTCGCAATGGGCTCACAAATGCAGCTATGGGAGCTGCGTTTCTTTCCAGGAAGCAGCAAAGACTCGCCGACTCTGGGAGAGCCCTGCAATGACTCTGGGGCTTTGCTGAGGAGCGCTTCATCACACCGTGTTGATTTCTTCCCCTGCCAGTGGCTGGCATAGAAAGGACTCGCTCCCCCAGGTGCGCTTCACAAGGTCACTTTGGGTTTTGCCCAGCGCCTTGCGTTTAAGATCCTCAGCCTATAACTAACGTCAAACCGTCCCGTGAGTCAGGGACTCCCTCTCCTTCCTGCGGTGCTGGTGTTTTAACGCCACCTTCCCGCTCTGTTAGTTTGCTGGAGTTGAGTGCTGGGGAAGAGAGTGACTGTACCCTCAGCTCCCCCCAGGCAGATGTCCACAGCACAGTGACTTGTCCTTCTCACGGGAATTGCAGAAGGTCTCCTCTCTCCACCTGACTCCACCTGGCCATCGCAAAGCCAAGGGCAGGTGAATCGGGTAGGTTGTCAGGGCTCAGGCTGAGCACCACGTCCCTGTGAAGGACTCTCACACCTGCACGTGTGCGTGTTGGCCTGGCTCCCTCCCGGTGCTTAGGGGAAAGCAGATGGCCTGGCTGATGTTCAGTGGAGCTGGCAGCTTTGGCAGTGCCGTGGCAGCGCTCCTCCCCGGCAGAGGCACGGCGGGGGCAAGGCTTGCCTGGACCTGCACCAGCTCAAGCTGCAGCTCATGCACCAGGTAATAACCTGGAGCCTCCGGGGGGATGCATATCCCCTTCTGTGCTTCCCATTTCTGCAAGCAGTAACTTCTGGTGGGGGTAATAACACCATAAACTGCAGCCACTACATCTCCTGTATCATACCCTCCAGCACCTGAAGAGCAAATCCCATCCCGTCACTTCCTGGGGTAGAAAACAGGCTCTTTCCGCCCTTCTCCCCTCTCTTTGTGCGTCACTACTCACTTGGCTTCTGACTGCAGTTTTTTCAGACTGCATTTAGGAAGAGGAGAGCGCTCTGCCTGCCTCCTGCCATTATCTTTCGTGTGCTCT